CACGATTTTATAAATGTGTTACAACAAGTATGTGAGTTAGAAAAACTGAGTCAACATCTCTACTGGTATTTTCGTGTATTTAAGGTCTTGCTGAAGCATTGTTGGTCATTAACAACAGAATGTTTGATAATTTAATTTGACATACAACTGGGCAGTAACTACTGGGAGTGAGGGCACACACAGCTAATGTTAGGTAGTTAGAAATACTTTTATGAGGAAGAACAACAGTCTGTTTGCAACTAGCCAAACTACTGCGAGATATACAACCCAATAAGGAAAAACGAAAAACTTCAGTTTCGACACATGGTTGCACTTACTACTCCACATGTAACACGTAGTTTATTAAGTCTGCAGTACCAACCAGTGAATGATCAAATTACTTCATCACACGAAACAATTTTTCTCGCCTGTTGAGCAACTTTCCAAGCCGTATCAAACAAATTTTTAGACCTGTAAAAGCTAGTAGATACTGATAAAGTCACTGAAACGTAATCGTACTAGTACCAGCTATTTTGTCAGTTATTTCACTTTGGAAATAAGCAGTATACTATACCTACATCTGTGAGAGAGGCCATACTTGTAGGACAAAATGAAGTGACTCCCTCACCCTCTCAAGGCTCGCACCTAAGTTACGCCCCTGGAAAAAAAAAAGTACAAAGTTGCGGCTTTCTAGCGCCTATTTTTACTCCACTCCCCCCACTTTTTAAATGAAAATTAACATTATTATTTTCACACAAAATAATAATGTTCTAGGCTGTATATTAGACATAATGTTTCAGCGTTGTTTTCATTGTAACTTTTCTAGACCATTAGTGCTACTTCCAGTACGGTGTTAACTTCAAGACTACTTTGGTAATACATGTTTTGCTAGCCTCAATGCCACAAGATGTGTTCAGTAAAATAATCTTGTGACCTGTTTGTATACTCATAAAAATAAGGAATTATCATTTTACTTTTTTTTCAATCTCATTCTTAAAGAACTAGATTGTACACTAAACTTCAGTGTTCGATTCTTTGTGGTGGACAAAGTGCAGATATCCCATTTTGCATTGTTCAAAATAAATTAAATTATCAGTTGCCATTGTGTTATTATGTTGCAAAGTATTACATCTCTAATGTAAACAGATAACATGTGAAGCCGTAGCAACAAACTGCTATTGACCTATTAGCAGAATCAACATCCAGTGAACGAGAAGGAAAATCCTATGAAAACCTCGTGTATGTTGACCATGTTAACGCTATTGGCTTGAATAGTGTTTTAACAAGATATACGTTGTTGGATTCGGGATTTATTTTATTGTATTCAAAATGTTTATCAAGACTGATTTGTAACGACTACATGCTCTAAACGTCAAGGTTATCGCACTTATATATACACTTCGGATATATTTTTGAGTGTGTGTATGTGTGTTTGTGACATTTCTGCAAAACTGTTTATTTTGTTTAAATGTGTTTTTCTTTTTGTTTTACATATTTTATATTTGAAAGTCGGTCTAGTTCTTTATATAAGATGGGATTAACTCTTCAGATTAGTGTTTATTTGAGGTTATAGTTGGCTTATGATATTTTGTAGGGATATATTAACAGGTGATACATTGAATTTTACATTCTATATATCTAAGGAATATCATTAAAATAAATTAAAAAATGCATATCCTGTTTTGTTAAATTGTGCAAACTGCAAATTTTAGGTTACACGTAAAATATTAATTATATAAATACCTGTGGAAATGACGGTGCTACTTTGGTTCCTTACGTACTTTTCAGGTATGTGACTTACTAACGCTGAACTGATAATTTTGTAACTTTTTACTTTTATTGACAAGAATACAAGGAGTATTCTGTTCTGGTCTTATGTTGATATTATATATGTTTTGGATTTAATCACGTGTCCATTATTAGTACTTTTCAACCTTTTTTTTCTGAAGAAAAAATAATATTTCGATTATTACAAATATGATGTACTATGTTTAATATTTTGAACTTAAAAGTTCACTTCCTGCAGAACAGCACAGTGGATAATTTTCAGCATGCTTTGACACTATTGTTAAAAGACAAAAAAAAAGTTAACAGCAGAGCCAATATAAAATATCTTTTTGTTTTTTAATGAGAATTCAATATGTCGACACTATAAATTTTATAACCAATATTATATTCATTTTGAACATGTATTTTATGGAAGTAGGGAAATGGGTTTGTTGTATACAAAATAAAGCATTTTTATACTTGAAAATTTCTTGATATCGTATTAGTATTTCCCTACCCTTAATGAATAAAAATAATTCTAATTCCAGCTTGGTGAAAAAGAGTCTCGTCTCTTTCGATCGCTCCCGTACCTTTAATAAAAGCGTACGTGCACTCCATTACTTAACGTTACGGAACTATTATTATACCAAAATCGTAACTCGGGTTGTTTACGCTATATCGTTTAACGACCTTTTTTGACCACGTATTGGATTTCTCTCCATTCCCAAGGAAACATTTTTTAGGACAAATACTTTTAAAAATCTGCTATTTTAACTATTAAAGTATAAAGTATTTTATCATGGAAAATATGAAAACAAATAATTGGTTAGTGTATAACCACAATACACATTCGTTAGAAGTTTAGGACATGCGTTTAAAAGGATTCCAGCTTTTCGATTATCTGCATGGATATGATTATTGCTACAAACTATAATATGCTCTAAATGTCCTTGCAACAAATGTACTAATGCATCATTAACAACTCACTGAAGATGTTACAATTTTAGCTCACTGGAGGTGCACTAGAACTGACTCACGTCCTAGTAATAGATAGAAACTGAAGTGAATATGATTCACTATAAAAAAAGAAAGGGAATACTGCGTTTACTGAAAGTATTCAGGCAAAAATATCCAAATGGGTGATAAAAGCATCGAGAACAATAGTATTAAAAAGAAAATTAATCTTGTTTGTTGAATCTTCATCAATTTCTTCGTTAATTAATGCAATATGCTTAGTGCTAGGTGTAGTAGTTTGTGTACTATTGTTGCATATGAGAGACATGGTATAAGCTTCAATTTTTTAAAGATTTGTGAGTCGAAAATGACATTTAAAAAATCAGGATGACGTTTTGTGGAAATTTGAACATTTTTGCGAATATATTCTGTAAAGCATAGACCTATTTTGGTATTAAATTTTCAAAATAAAATATATATTTAACGTGTTTATTCCAACTGTTGTCATCACAGTATTATTTGTTATTCTACTGACACTAACATATCCTCAGAACAGATATGTCGATATATTAATTGTTGTGTGTTCTTTTGGAATATTAAGCAAGGATGTTAATGAATAATCATATTTGTTTAGATTCTCTGAAACCATAGAATTAATCTTTCTTCTGTTGGCAAATTGCAGCGCATATACACAATGCCTTTTGAATTTCAGATTTATATTGGAATAACCCTGGATGTCGAAAGTCTGGGAATATCAATTCATTCACTTAAGAATTAACTATTGATTAGTGTTGAGGTGATACCTAATCAAACTGTGTTAAATAATTATACATGTTTATTATCTTCGTTATGTTGAATACTGTTGCTTGTGGCACGAGAAGGGCTTTTGCTACTGAATTTTTGTTTTCGTGGATTCTCATTTCTTCGAAGATGCTACACTTTACTTACGATGCCTGGGTTTCTATTTGTTGCAGGTCTCTTTTTGGATGGTTCTGGTGCCCCATGTTAATCATTAATCCTTTATTTTTCAATGCTTTTAAGTACAAAGGATATATTTATCTTGAAAAGTCTAAATCTTCAACCTGAGCACATCTGTATTTCTGCGTGTATTAATATTTTGTATCGAAGAGGGCTTTTACATACCCTCTCCAAAAGCAATCAATTTTCGGTGGCGTTAACCTACCTAAGAAATACCAAAAAATGTCAAAGTGTAGTTCTGATACCTACCGCTCCACCGCAATTGTATATGGACTGTGGTTTCCACAATACTTGCTATTTTGCATACTCAAAATCGTTTTAGCATAATATACTTAACTCTCTGTATGACAGAGATAATCTCCGACGCAGATAAAACAGTTCCCTTAATACTAGAGTTCAACAAATTGGCTGGTAATGTAACACACAAATCCTGAGTCGAAACACTATTTATGTGAGTCATTTACAATATATCAATTATTATGGTATATAACACCTTATGTTAGAGAAGCATGATCTATTCATTGGAAAATTTGTGTGAAGTTACATCACCATAACACTGACGATATTTTTATAAATCTTTCTCCACTTGGTCTGTTATAAGGGTTTCTATAAAGAACATAATAGAGCCAGTAAAGAAAGATTAATTGAAAATTAATATGTGTACAATGACACAACAGGTAATATATACCATCTTCGATAAATTAGCTTCAACAAATTCAAAGAATAGGTCTAGAGTGTTGATAAACCTGAAAACGTAATAAATTATATGTAGTGGATATCTATCTGACACGATATCAAACTTAGCTGTTGATAATCCAAATTTAAGTTTGTATCATTAAAAAATCTTTCGATTGACCATCAGTGGGAAAACAAGAAATCATAAACGACTAAACGATATTATTTAATATTCTCTCTGCGTCAGTAGTGATACTCCACAGTGTGATTAAAGTGATAAGTTAATCAACTGATTCTGCCGATCTGTTATAAACATACGTTCTGAAAATGGCTTAAATGGCATGTTAAAAAAAAGTTATGTCATTGAACAAGTTACGTATACACAAGCTTCTTCCATGACATATCCGTTGAACCATCGCAGTATACTTACAATAAAGGTACTTCCCCCCCCCCCCAAAAAAAAAACAACAACAACAATGTAATTCTAAAATGCTGTTTTTACTCGTCTCTGATTTTAATCTGAAATGGACAAGTTAAAAGGGTTGTGAAAAAAGACAGCTGCTGTTTGCATGATTTTTGTCACATATTTTAGACATATTGGTTTCGCCATATTTCAATGTTTAAATCGCACATTTTCCATGATTTATCATGCAACTAAACACTTATTATTAAAAGTTAAAAATGATATACGAAACGTTAAATTCCTCAACTAATACTTTAAAGTTATTCTCTATTTTCAGTGATGTTTTACATATTTTACATGTCAAAGCAGCTAGCTAAGTTTGTGATTCTAATGATCCTTTAGTACAAAGCAAAGATTATTTATTTACATTTAATTTAATTTGGCGTATCTGTTCATTGCAGTTAGTTCTATACCACAATTTAAGAATATTGATTGAGTTTCGTTTATTGTAATCATGGTATAAAAACTCAAAGTGTTTCGATTTCTGAAAGACCAGAATGTTTCAACGCTTTTGTTTGGATTAGTAATTAAATCAACCGATTGTTAGCTGTTCAAGTTCCATACGTAGTGATATTGAAAGATGACAAAGCATAATATATATATATATAGTTGTAAACACTTCATAATATGTCAAGAGCGTCCTAAAAATATATGAAATTGGTGAACTAATTCGTTATTTTAAGATCTTATTACAAAAGTCAGTATAGAACTTTGTATAAAATGTTCTAGATAAATTTTCTCACATGATTCTGCCAAATGAGCTTAATATAAAATTCTGAGTTCTGTTACTTAATCATGAAAAAACAATGTGCTCCAAATAGTGGACACCTCGGGTTTCAGTCCATAATGGTTCGACTGAAGAAGAAGGAATATTAAACAAAATGTTCAAGGAAATAACGAAGAAACTAGGGATAAGATAAGTAGTGACATTTAATTTTAGTGTATTCGAATAATTCCCAAGGCCGTTGTTTCGTTTCTTCATTTCAAATAATAAACTAAAGTGTTTGTTGCCATTTTCTTGTCTCCTTTGACAAAAACTAGCTTATTTTTATATAACTTGAAAACCTTATTTTTAAAGATTAGGTTGGACCTGTAATGCTGAATTTGATATCTACTACTTTCATATTCCTCACAGCATAAAATTCAAGTCCATCTTGTTTCACCGAAACGAAGATTGAAAAGTAGTTTTCTTGATATTAAAAAAAATTCTAATAAAATGTATTGTTTTATAACTATATGAAAACCACTTTATTGATGTATAGCGAATATTAGGTTTCTGTGATTGAAATGTGTTCATTCGTCTGGTATTTTGGTGACTCACACTTCCCTATGGACGATGTCAGTTACATTGTAAGAAGCTGTAAGATACCCTCATGTACGACAGATTCTGAATGGCATATCATGAAACATGTGTTGAGCTGCTACATCGTGAAGCTCAATTTATTGCAAAAAATCATTAACGTTTTCTTTTTTAATTTTATTTTATATATTTAAGTTGATCTTGTTGATGATTTTTAGCACAAAGCTACATAATGAGCTCTGTCTATCACGGGAAATTGAACCCCGGATGTTAGCGCTGCAACTCCATAAAGTTACTGCTGGCCTACTGGGGAACTATATATTTAAGAACAATGTTCTTAAAACCACATTTTGAAAAAGATTAACACAGTAAAATTCATTTTGATGTAAAATGCCCCCACTGGCTCAATGGAGAGTCTGCAAGCTTATAACACTAAAAATCAGGTTTCAATGCCCGTGGTAGGTAGAGCACAAATTTTGTAACTCTGTGTTTAACAACAACCAAACTAAAACTAAATTGATGTGAATTATAATCTACACATTCAGTAAAATGTACCATGGTTTTTCTGACGTAGATTTTTGCATTTATGAGACCGCTGCTGTTTTGTTACAAAATTCGTGAAAACCACAGTGAAATGACAAATATTTTATTAAAGTTGTTGAAATTTAACTCTCATGACTACGTATAACGTTAAAATAAGATAAAAGCATACGATTAAACTTCTTAAACGTATGCAATGATTAATGCAAGATGAACGCCTTTCTCTCTTATAAAACAATTAAACTTTCACCGCTAAAAACCCTTTTTTATGCAATTTTTAAAGGCACAGTGAAACATCAACACAAGGCTTTAAAATTTTCTATATGACTCTTAATTGGCCTATTGTGGGTTTGCAGTATGGAGAGTGTATTTCTAGAATTTAATCTCTGTTTAATTGCAAGATATTTGACTTTTAACATTCCTAATTCAGTTTGAAAAAGTAATTTATAGCTATAAGCACAATTTTAAAAAAAACATTAAAAAGAGATTCTCAACTTTAAAGGTTGTTTAAAATAACTTTAATAAAGCCGTTTTGTTTTATTATTGTAAAACCTAATGAATTAGTGACTGAGAGGTATTGCATTAGAAATAAGTTAGGTTGTTTTAGCTATTTATTTTACCTACACAATTGGCTTTCTGCGCTCTGTAAACCATGGAAAATTGAACCCCGGATTTTAGCGTTGTAAGCCATTATATGTACTGCTGATTCACTGGTAGACAGATGTATCAGGGCATTTAGGGCAAGTAGAACTCTTTATGAAATGATCGTCATATCTGACAAGTGATGGCAGAATTAAGCGCTTAAAATTATTACAATTGCACCATGAATGCCGTCTTATTAGGATGGTATTAGGTTTTTGACCTCTGACTATCACACAACGAATTTTGACACTTAAGAAGTGCATTTTGGGTTTTGTCTCTCAAGATCCTTAAGTGATGAATAGTTGAATTAAAATTATAAGTAAGAAATTCATTATTAACATATTGGTATTTTTAATAAAATGAAATATAATTACACAAGTGAATTCCTCAATTCCTGTAAATCTTTAGGTTCAATATCACGAACTTTAGCCAGCTTAATGGCAGTAGTCATTTAAGTACTTCGTGGACTCCTGTGCTTAAAAGAATTCAGGCAGAGGCAAGTATATCTGTGTTTCACTGTTATCTGTACTTTCTTAAAGATACTAACTTGTTAATTAATCAACTTCATTTCGGATTCCCAACTCGAATAAATGCCTCATGTATTTTACGTAATAACTGGCTAGACTCCATCCTTAGTTTCAGTTAAGAGTAGCAGTTATGAAGTCCAGTTGACAATAAAAACTTAAATGTAAGTTATCACTTATAATATATTTTTATATCGTAAATCAAGAGGGTTCAATGAGATAATTAGATTTTATTCAGGAAAAATGTTCCTATTCTTCCAATAAATCTTGCAGTTTTAATGGAAGTTAGATTCTAAGATAACATCATGGTGTATTATGGTTACATATATTTGTGTCATTCCTTCTTTACGAATTATTTGATAGGTTTAAAGTGTGTTTCATAGAATACAATCTTTGCATAAATTACTGTTTTTGTTAACTTTTTGAAGTAATTTTCTTACCAGAAAGCATGCAAACATGAAATCGAATATTTTCAAAGTAAATTTATTTCTATTACTTTTAGTCCGCAAAAATATGAGAAAAATTTATTAACTGTCATGTACAGTTTGGCTACAAGATGTTGAAAATTGCATGGTTGTATTTCTTTGGTTATTGAATTTTAAAATAGGAAAGTTAACATTGGACCATCCTGTAGTATACTTCTATAACTAAAATTTTTATAACTGGTTAGACTTGGAATGTTTTGGACTCATTCAGTATGTAGGGAATGAGATCGAAGATTATTTAGCTTGCTTCAGTAAGTAAAAATTATAAAAATCAAGCACTAGCACAGTGGACTTCTACGTGTGCACCATTAGTGGTTCTCATCACGTCATTCCAATATCCGAGTTCAGTCCACGTTCGCTGCAAAATGTCCACCGTTACAGTGGTGATGACATCCGTTATTCTAGTCTTTAGCTTCGTGATGTTTGCTATAGATGTGCAATACACAATGTCCTTAATAGTTGTATTTCTTTGCGTATTTGATTATTACATAGGAAATATGAAATATAATTTTGGGCCGTATGTCAGAACAAGATCCGTATAATATTAAATGATCCAAGGTATACAGATTCCCAGAGAAACGTTTATTTTATTATTTACTGTGCTTTTATTATATGCTTTGAGGATCATAGAATGGCTCCGAGTTGTTTTTCAAGTACAAACTTTTAGCTCATAGCTCTGTCATCTCTTGGTCGATTTGAGATATAATTACAATTTTGGACTCAGGAGGTCAAATCCTTTCGATTGATGCATTTGATCACGTCCAATATCTCATAGATTAATTTATTCTAATCCTGCCTAAAAGAATTTCAATTTGAGGGTAGGCTGGTAAAGATCCTGATGAGTAATCAAATCGAATCAGGTATACGCGTGATCCACGTTTGTTATTGTTGGCGCACAACAATATAGCTAGTAAAAAAGGGAAAAAAATGTCTCGTAGATAAATTTACTTTAATCCTGCGTAAAATAATTTCAAGTGCCGCGGCTATTGAGGATTCCCTTTGTTATTGTTTAACCATATTTCCTACTTTTTGTCACCCGACGGATCAGTGATAAGTTTACAGAGAGAGAGTGTAGATAGCCCTTTGCACTTTATTTGCACTAAGGAAATAGCAGCAACAGTTTCATAGTTTTTCATTACAAAATAATTTCTTATCTTGATTTTGTAGATCCCAATATGCAACATATTAGGCTGACTTAAATCAAGTAGCAGCCCCCATATTATGATTAATCTGTTTCTTATGTTGAGATTTGTTACACATGTTGAACATAATACATTTTAGGTTAACAAAAATTCCACATATATAATTTAAAAGACAAAACTCGTTTTACGAGCCATCACCTGGATATAATGAATCCGAGAAAGTTAGACACCTAAAAAAAAATGAAAGTAGGACATTTAGACACTGTTAAATAAAACAATAATTACAACAGATATGTTCCATGTACAACACTCTAATAATCATATAAAATACACCATAAATTACACAAAAATTCCTTACAGCCAAAATATTCA